TTTGGGCCTCGGGAGACCGTGGTCTCCATCAGGGAGGGGCGGGGCGAGCCCTGGAGCTGGGCGCAAGCTGCAAGAATGAGGGGCGTGGGAGTCAGCTGTCCCCGTGAGCGTTCCTGTGCGGAAGGAGAGCACACTTAGCCCTCTTCCCGACGGGGGACAGAGCAAGGTTCCATGTTCATGGGAGGGAGACACTCACTGTTGCTTTTGGCTAAAGTTTCTTTATACATGTATTAACATGATTAAATACACAAATATCTACCCTGTGCTGAAAACTGTTTGAGATGAGAATTTCATCTACTTTTGCTTAGCCGGCTGTTTGCCGTGGATGGTGAGTGGTTGAGAGCTCTGCAGCCAGACATGCCTCCACCCCTTATAGCTGTGTGGCCCCTGTCAAATTACTTAACTTCTCTGTGCCTCACTCTGCCCTGCTGAGTTAGCTCAAGTGTTGTATGGATCAGGGTAGGCTGGCTGCGGTTACAAACAAGGCCAGCATCCCAGGGGCTTGCCCCATAATGATGTCAAAATGTAGTGTGGGTGTTGGGGAGCTCTGTTCACAGTCATTCAGGGACCAGGAGTCCCACCACCCCTGGATCTTATGTGTCTGCCAGCAGAGAAGGGAACAGAGCACAGAGGACCCTCTGGTCAGCTTTGTAAGGACCAGGCCTGGAAACATGGCCGTCACTTTGCCCAAATTCTTTTGGCTAGAATGCCTTGATGGCTGCGCCCCTACAAGGGAGGCTGGGGGGACCAGAAGTCTGCAGGGGGATCGCGCTGTTACTCGGAGGCTGGGAGGCTGTTGCGCCCCGGGCTGGAAGAGCAAGCGGGGGGAGGTTACACAGAGATAAAGGAGCTACTCCCCACCACGGCAGGGCAAAGGGGAGGCGGTATTTTTTGGAGACCAAGAAATTGCCTCCACTCCTGATGCTGTCTCGGAATTTGCGGGAACCTCGACTGCTGTGCTGAGCCGGAGCTACGGAGCCATGACAGCAGGTCCCCTGGGAACAGCCTGGCCCTGCCCTCTTCCCACCTAAAGGGCACAGCTCCCTGGGCGCAGCCCTGGGGGGCAGCTGGGAAGATGTGCAAAGGGCAGGTGCGGGGTTGAGAGCCACCAGATGAACGTCCAGCCAAAGGGCAAAGGGTGTGTCTCATTCCAGGGCTGTGGGGTCACCTGGGTGGCCAGGCAGAAGGGGAGGCTGCACATCAGCTGAACCACATCGTGAAGGGCAGGACGAGGTGGGGACCCTATCCTGAAGGCCAAGTGTTTAGTGGGGAAAGATGGAGGCAGGCCCAAGTTCTAGAAAGATCACTCTGGCCACGGGGAGGAAGATGAATTGCCAGAGACGGGGAGGGAGGCACAGAAGTGAATTCAGGGCTGTCTCGGTGTTCTAAGCGAGAGGATGGGGTGACCTTCCCTGGGTGATGCCTGGAGGACTAGGACGGAAGTGACAGGTGTGAGAGAGATTTAGGAAGTGAACCCGCAGCTGAGGGGCTATGCTCTGAGGGGGCCTGCACCCTGGCCCATGGCGCCCGGACTGAGCTGTGTGACCTTGGGCCAGTGGCTTACCATCTCTGAGCTTCAGTCATCTCTCCAATGGGATGGCAATGGGGACCAAATGATATAAAGAGCGTACCTGGCATAGATAAGCATAAAAATTAGTAGCAAAAAGATCATATAGATTTGAAATTATTTTCTGATTACAGTATTAATGCACACTCATTTTAGGAGACTCAGAAAATCCAGAGAAGCATAAAGGAAAAGAAAAGACAACAGCAAGAAAGCAGCCATACCCCACTCAGCAGAGATGATAAACTTGGTGGTGTGGTTTTTTTCATCCATTTTCTAGGTGTTTCCATGATCTCGGTTAGCCGTCCTCACCCTCATTGCACCTCCTGGCCTCCTCCTCTCAATGGCTCAGCGTTTGCTGACCCTGACTCACCCTGCTCCACTCCCTCCAAGTCCCCGCCTGCCTTATGAAGCAGGAGGGCTAGGCGGCAAGGTGGTGGCCAGCGCCAGGCTGCGCAGGCACCAGGAGCCTCCTGCAGTTGCCCGTACAGGGGGAGGGGCATTCTCTCACCCGGCGGGAGTGACAGGGACCCCCGGCAAGGCAGGGAGCAGCTGGGGCCAACGTGACACTCTGCCAGCTCGCGGGGTCTGCTAGTGAGAAGAGGAAAGCCCCCGCCAAAATTGGGTAGCTGGAAGTGAGTAGGAAAATAACGTTCAGCTCTTTCGAAAACACAGAATTAGAAAATAGGGAGAATATAGACAAAAGCTTGTCAGCATCCATCGTTCACTCAACATTTATGAGGCACCTGTGAAGCGCCCTCTTTCAGACCTTCGGGTTAGTCTGGCAGGTCTCGTTTACGCTGGAAGTAAATTAGTGCATTAGCTCCCACACCTCAGTGACCTGGCACATTGATGCTTAGTTCTTATTCACACAAAGTCTAGCATGTCTAGCGGCTCTTCTGGACAGTTCTCTTCCAAGTGGTGATTCGGGATCTGGCTTCCAGTTGTGGCTTCATCCCTCAGCAGGGTCCCCCGGGACCTGCAGAGCACAGGACCGCACACGGGCTTCGGCGGGCTTCGGCCCAGAAGGACACACTTCTGCCCACAGCCCGTGGCCCAGGGCCGGGCCGTGGCCCCAGCTAACTGCACAGGGGCGGACAGAGTGGGGAGCATGTGCGTGTTAAGCGAGCCTGGCTCACTGAGGGTTAAAGGTACACAACCGTCAAGTCTGAAGGAGGCCGTTGTGAAAGGAAACCTGGTAACTGAAGCCCAGCAGGATCTTTTAGCACGAGATTTCAGGAGCAGTGCGTTTGGTTTTGGAGAGACTGCAGAGAATAAATTACAAGATGAAAGTGCATCCATCCATTCATTCATTCATCGGCGCGATCATTAAGCAGGATTTTCTTGAAACTTTCTAAGTTGCAAGCCCTGTGCTATATTCTGGGGTTTCCAGAAATGAAGGCAGCCTCCACCCTCAGGTTGCTCGTGACTCGGCCGGAAAGATAGCAGCTGCATGCCAGGAGGGAGAGGCTGGGCAGCCTCGGCTGTGGGTGTTCAGAGAGAGACCCCCAGGAGGTGCGATGCCTGATTTGAGTCTTAAGAAACAGTCATCAGCCAGAGGTGAGGAAACGGGGTCCTAGTGAGCAGAGAGGCCCAGAGCCGGGGGAGTGGGAGGTCCCTGGGATGGAAGAGGAAGGATGCTGCTTCCATCAGAAGAGCCTGAGACCCAGAGCCTGCCGGGCACAGGGCACCCCAGGACCAGGGCACAGAGCCGTGGGGGGCACGCCCTTCGGGGGCACTCAGTGTTCTGAGCTCCTTCTGTAGCCTCGTTTCATTGGGTAGAACTCCGCTATTTTAGATCTAAAGCCAACTTTGCTGAAAAACTATGAAGCCAGTGTATTATAAAAATGCACAGACGACTCAGGTAGGACAGCAGCAGCCTGGGAAACTTGCGTATAGATACCAGTCGTGTACAACCAGCTGATCACGCAGACCTGGCAGAATGTTCGGGAGATAATTAATGCCCAATTTATGCACATTTCTTGTTTGGGTAGGTAAGTTGTATGTTAGTATTCCAATATAAAAGGCAAAGACTATTAAAAAGTCCCTGTGTCATGTGCATTGGCCCACAGGAAGACATATGACTCTCGGTTAACGTGAAGCTGGGTCATCTCTGTTGCCTCAACCAAGGCAGTGTTTAGAGAGAAACTACCCTGTGCCATGCTGGTGGAACACCTGGACCAGGAGAGCCTCTGGGTGGGAAAGGATTTGAAAAGGTTGAAGGAACAGTTCAGAAAAGAGAGGGTCGAGTGGGACGTGATGGTCGGGGATGAGTTAGAAGAGCTGTGCGTGGAGGGACTAGATGGGCAGGCCTTTAGCTCTGCATAAAGGACGCCTTCGTGACTAACGTTGTCTAGAACTCCACTGGGCAGTCCCTGAAGGAGCGGGTTTCCCATCTCTGACGTGGCTTCATCCAAGGCCAGACCGCCTCTTATTGGGGAGCGTAAGGGCGGGATTGTGGCCCTGGATGGGGATGGAGCCCATGGTGTCTCATCTGTGGCTCCACCAGGACTGGCTGAATGTGCCATTGGGCACTGCCCCCTTAGGCAGCTGGACATTCTGTGCTCTGAAGGGCAGCTCTCTGAGCCCTCGGACCACCCTCACAGATGGTCCCCGAGAGAATCCCTCTGTCCAAGCTGCATAAGCACCACGTCTCCCTCTGCTGCGGGCCTGGGTCATCAGTGGGGCTTTTGCACCAGACCCTCTAAATCTGGGGTCAGTGGTGCTGGAAGATTCTTCTGTCATTTATGTAAGAATCAAGTGCTAAACTGAGCATGAAAGGGTAAGACTTTCACAGCACAGCAATCGATGTGAACATATTCAGATCATGTGTACAACCAAATTGCTGTGTGTACAATAGATGGGCAGAGTAATCTGATTATATCATAAATTAGTGGCCATTGCCATATGCAAATGCGAGTTTTTATGGGTCCTCTGTTTATGTGCACATTTTTCTTGGCACATCTGTTGCCGAACCCTTTTAAAATTCAACCTTTACAGGCAAGTTGATTTTTTTTAATGTGACACAAAGGATTATATGATGAAGGGTGAGGTTATGTAAGCTGAATTAACTCTCTTATTATTCACATTCATAACAATATTTTAGTTGCAGTTGTGCAATCTGGTCTTCTGTTCCTTGGAGATGCGAATAGAATGTTTATGGTCTTTATTAATGAAGTAATTAAGAAGTGTCTTTTCATTCAGTTCAAGTGTCACGATTGAGAATTTGTTGTTGGGAATCTCGTGAGCGTTGCCCGCGGGGATGGCAGGCCTTCCTTAGGGACACGTGCCCTTCCCGTTCATTGCTCAGCAGCCAGGTATCGATAAGGAAGTTTTCAAGGCATGTTGCTGGGAACTGTGGGTTCGCCCATCAAGATAAACGAGGCATGGTTTCTCCTCGAGAAACCCACCGTCAAGCAGGGAGGGAAGACCTGGACTGAAGCAGGGGAAGCAGAGGTGGGATGTGGTTGAGCCTTTGGGTGGCGAATAGCAGCGGCAAACACCAGGCTCAGGTCCCAGCCTCCACCCGCACTCACCCCGCTCCCCGGTCCTCACCACAGGCTACAGGGATCCAGGGGAGGCGGAGACACAGTGCTTTTGCCTCAGGATGAGAGAGAGGTCCCAGAAGAGGCGCCCTGCTGGCCAGGCCTTGCTTGTCAGGCGGGTGGTCTGTGCACGTTCTCTCAGGAGACCCCTGTAGGGGTGGGGAGCCCCCTTGGGGAGCTTTCTTCTAGGGGTGTCTTTATAGAGTTGCATCACAGCAGCACTCTGGTGGCATCAGGCTGGTCACGGGCCTGATGCAGCTCAGGGAAAGACCCACGGCCCTGGGATCGCCCTAGGAGCCCAAGAAATGGCAACCCTCCCCTTCCCAGGTGCACTGATGGAGAACTAGACTCTCCTTCCTGCAGCTGCCTCATCACCAGCCGCAGGAGAAGCCGTTTGCTAGAGGCACTGGCCCTGCGTGCCACCTGGCACATAAAGCCATTACAAGCCTCGGGCTTCCTCTGGTGGGTGGGTCGCTTTGTTTTGTTTTAGAAGGAAAATTCACTGAATAAAGGTAGAATGGTACTTTTGGGGGTTGCAGGCACTAAGGTCGTACTAATAACGGAAGCCTGGAAAGGTCTGGAAGGGCTTCCCAAATCCTTAGTAACAACGACGGCCCCGGGGGCGTGATTCCAGCCGGCAGGTCTCAGAGCGCCCTCCCCGGCCGTGCAGGCCAGGCGAGGAAACCGAGCCCAGGGGGGTGGGTGGCGGGACGTGGCCGGTGACTCGAGGCCGGTGAGCTGGCGTCTCAGACATCGCTGCCCTCCCTGCCCCTCCGTCGCAGGAGGGGGCTCTCCTCACCTTCTAGGACGGAGTCCCTGATGAAGGCAGGCCTGGATGCTGGGAGGCAGGCGGAGGCGAGACGCGAAGCCCAGGGGGGCCGCAGGGGGGGGGGTGGGCAGGGGGGCCTCGGGAACTTCTCACCCCTCGTCCTCCACCCAGCACCCCAGCCCTTGAGGACAGGAAAGTCGGGTAAATAAATCCGTTCTCCTCGTCGTTACTCAGTTGGGAGGGTCGCAGGGGACCCGGTGCTGGGGCGGCGGCCAGCGTGTGGTCCTGCAGCATCTGGCTGGCAGCGGAGAGCAGAGGGGGCCCTGCTTCACACAGGAGAGGCCAGGGCGCCTGGCTGCGTCCCACAGGCACCGACAGCAGCCGGATGCAGCGTGAAGCCCCGGACGTTGTGCAAATACCGCCTCAGCCCTCTGAACGCTGAGTTCATCTGGGAAAAGCACCGCCGGAAATGCCATTTTTATCGGTTAGAGGAGGACCGAGATCTTTCCGTGAAAATAAATGCTTCTTTTCTTTAAAGAAAATTGGCAATTTGCCTTAAAATTTTTTATTGAAGTAATTCTATTCTATTTGAATGATGTTGGGAGATAAAAACCCTCCATTATGCCTTTTTTTAAATGAATTACAATTTAGAAAAATCCCAATAATAGAAAATGACATAAAAGGTACATAACATAATTCTTATCTTGTTTTCCTTACTAGTCTCTCTCGTTGGTTGTATGTAATTGGCATCTCCTCAAAGAGAAAATGGGGAATTGGAATCACGTGGCATTCATTTATTTGAGTTTTAAGATTGAATATGCTTTTTTTTTTTTTTTTTTTTGCGGTACGCGGGCCTGTCACCGCTGTGGCCTCTCCCGTTGCGGAGCACAGGCTCCGGACCCGCAGGCTTAGCGGCCATGGCTCACGGGCCCAGCCGCTCCGCGGCACGTGGGATCCTCCCGGACCGGGGCACGAACCCGTGTCCCCTGCATCGGCAGGCAGACTCCCAACCGCTGCACCACGAGGGAAGCCCCTGAATATGCTTTTGGACGGATTTTCTTCTGAACCTTAGCATAGTTCCTCTTACATGTAGGTGCTCAATAAAAGACCGTTGAATGAACGGAAGGGTTGGTTTTAATTTTCCGTGGTCACAGTCGTATTTCTAACAGAATGACAGAGGATGAATCCGGTTGTCTCTTGGAGTGGGCCAAGATCACCTTGTGTGAGGTGACCTTCCTGTTGATCGATGGGCCTGTGGATCGCCTGAGGATCTTGTTACGAGCAGGTCCAGCTCAGGTCTGGGGTGAGGCTCAGGATCCTGCGTTCCTGACCCTGGGGGAGGCCGGTGCTGCAGGCCTGCAGAGCACACAGGGTGTGAGGAGCCAGGCAGACGGAGTGCAGACGGTGTTAAAGCCCTGAGCACCTCGCACTGGTGAGAGTTTTGTTTGTTTGTCTTTAAAGGTAGGACACCGAGGGAAGAGGGCACATTACTTACCAAGAATTTTTACAGAAGTTGGGGGTTAACTATTCAGCGGATATTCATCAGCCCTACGCAGAGGATTATTTCAACTTCATGGGTCATTTCACGAAGCCACAGCAGGTGCAAGAAGAGATGAAGGAGCAGAGCACGGAGAGGGCCGTGCCGGCCGGGTGAGTCTGTGAGCACACGGCCCGGGGGCCGGCGTCCGTTCCTCGTTGACCCTTGCAGCACTGTTTGTTCTGAAGTGGTACCTCCCAGTGCTGGCAAAGCTGCCATGAGATTGTAATACTCGTTCACTGCTGTAGATTCTAGAAATCAGCGCTAAGTCACAAAGCTACAAAGGAGTTAAAGAGCTATAAGCCTACACCACCCTACCCAGTCACACTCTCAGGTCACCCTTGAGAACTGAACCTTTGAGGTGTTTACTAACCTAAGCACCTGGCCCCTCCTCTGGACAAGTAGAATGCAGGTTCCACAAGGACATGCCTGTCTCTACCTGGTTCAGAACAGTGCTTGACGCCTAGTAGGCACCCAGTGAGTATTTGTCCAGTGAATGAATGAAGGAACAGACACATTCTTTAACTCAGCAGTTCAACTTTGGGGACTTTATCCCAAAGAAATAATGCGGAAGAGACCAGCAGTTTAGCAGGTGGAAGGTATGACTTACAGTGTGTTTTCAACAGCAGCAACAAAAGGACACCTGTCAGCTTCCCTGGTGGCGCAGTGGTTGAGAGTCCGCCTGCCAATGCAGGGGACACGGGTTCGTGCCCTGGTCCTGGAGGGATCCCACACGCCGCGGCGCGGCTGGGCCCGTGAGCCATGGCCGCTGAGCCTGCACGTCCAGAGCCTGTGCTCCGCAACGGGAGAGGCCACAACAGTGAGAGGCCGGCGTACCACAAAAAAAAAAAAAAAAAAAGGACACCTGTCAATCCCAGATGAGGGCCTGGCTTACAGAGTGTGGTGCCAAGGAATATGAGGTGGTGTATGCCAGTTTCAACCATCACCTCGGACACTGTGGGAATGTCTGTGATAGAAGGCTAATTGGCAATGAAGTTTTAAACAGTCTGTATAGGGACTTCCCTGCCGGTCCAGTGGTTAGGACTCCACGCTTCCACTGCAGGGGGCTCGGATTCGATCCCTGGTTGGGGAACTAAGATCCCGAGTGCCCTGTGGTGTGGCCAAAATAAATAAATAAATAAACAGTCTGTATACCATGATTGGAACTACACCAAATGTACATGCCTGTCCACAAGATGCTGTACAGAAGGTATCGTGTTGTATTTGGATGGTGGGACTGCGCGTGATTCCTTTCAAAGTTTAAAAGTAGTTACTAATGAAACTAGTCACTAATGCCATATTTTAAAATTCTAAAACAATGGATAAAGAAAATGTGGTACATACATATACAATGGAATATTATTCGGCCATGAAAAAGAATGAAATATTGCCATTTGTGATAACACAACTGGACCTTGAGGGCGTTATGCCAAGTGAAATAAGTCAGACAAAGAAAGACAAAAACCATATGATCTCACTTATATGTGGAATCTTAAAAAAAAAAAAACAAAAAAAAAAAAACCCAAGCTCATAGATACAGAAAACAGATTGGCAGTTGCCAGAGGTGAGGGTAGCGTGGGATGCGGAAGTGGGTGAAATGGGTCAAAAAGCACAACTTCCATTATGATAGAAATAGGTCCTGGGGATGTGATGTACAGCAAGGTGACTATCATTAGTAATACTGTGCTGCATATTTGAAAGTCGCTAAGAAGGTAAATCTTATAAGTTCTCATGCTATGGATGGTGACGGACGGTAACTATACATCCTACAGTGTATACAGATATCAAATCATTATGTTGTATACCTGAAACTAATATAATGTTATATGTCAATTATGCCTCAATTAAAAAAAGGAACATAGGAGAAAATTTTGCCGCATTTGATGTGACCCTAAAGGGATGGGACAGACTTTCTCAATCAGTCTCGGTCCTGGGTGGCCGCCCACCAGCACTCCCCAGGCCTGGGACCCTGCTCCCCGCTCCAGAGGCTTACCTCCCTGGCACTCTCATCTGTGTGTCTGTCCATCTCCTGTCTGTCACTTCAGCTCTCTGTCCCCATCATCTCTGAATGAGTGAATGAGCTGTTGCTAAAGAATCCCCAGAGGAAAGAAGCACTCCAAGGACACAGGGATGAAATGTAATGGCTAAATGGGGTTTAAGAGAAGGGCAGTTTGAACACACCCCTGAATTATGTCTAAGTTACTGAGTTATAAAGCCTGAAGGCAGAGAATGGAGTTGGTGAAATTTCAAATAAAAATATGCACAAGATTGGTATAAATATCAAATATGCCATAAAAGTAACGAAAAAGTGGAATCTATCTTTCCCAGACAGGGCTGGCCTCATTACCCACACGTGTCTTCCCTTCCCTCTCTCCTGCCACTTGTGAGTAACGAGGCTCTGGGAGGGATCTCACATCCTCAGCATCGTCCGTATGGTCTTTCTCTTCTTGTTTCTGTTTATTGTGCGATCGTGGATCTGTAGCTGGGAGAACTACGTGCCACTGGACGAAGCGTTTCAGCTCATCAAGCTCCAAAAACTGATTCACACTCACCCGGTCCCCTGCCACCATCACGCTCTCTTACTAAAGAAGACAAGCCCGATGCGTAAAAATTCACGACCGGCTTCTGTTTCCTCAAAGATGTCAGGTTGCGAAATTGTCAGGTCACTTTGCCCTTCAGGATGGCCCACTTTTCAATTTTGGTGTCAGTGGGTCTTCCAGATAACCCATCAGATGCAGTGTTTCCAGGACTTTTAACCTCCTCATTTATACTGAAGCTTTGATAAGATTAAGAAACAGGAGTCGTGTTCATTCAAGTGACTGAAATTTTGTTTGCCTCTTAAATCTAAGAGGTTTAATTTTGTTTGAAATGGCTTGAATACATTTTAAAAATTCAGAAGAATCGTTTTCTAAACCCCTATTTATTTTCCAGAGTCAGACCAACAATAGTGAACTAGCCGCGGAAGCTCAGCCGGCTGTTCTCAAATGCAAATTACGAGACACAGGAGTAAAACCAACCGGGCTGCACAGGGTTCTCTCCAGTTCTCTCCAGCGTGCCGGCCAGGCTGTGTGTGAGAGGGGCTCTGCGGCCGGACGGCCGTGCCACCGCCCTCTTCGGGCTTCCGTCTCGTTGTCCAGACCAGGGACCAGACACCGTGTGGGCTGACGCAGGTTCTGCCTGGCAGCGTGGCGTGATCAGAGCTCTGGATCCTCACTTATTCTGAGCACATATTTACCCTGCGAGGGAAATAATTACTGCCTGGAAACCAGTCCAAGAAATACTGAACGCCTCAATTTTCTAAAAATATGTATCTCAAAAACAGTTTTGATTTTTTTTATGCCTTCATTTACTTTCATTTTGAAGGATTAAGTGGAATATAATAGTTGTGATCACGAGTAATCATTTTGTAGGATGGGACTGAATTCAAAGTACACCTGTGAGGGAATCCAGGGTGTTGCTGCCCTTGGGATACATTCCCCGGACAGTTACTGCAGCTCATTTTTATCAGCTTCTCGAAGACTCACACCAGCCAGCTGGGAACCGGAGGCCAGCAGGGGAGGGAGACGGTGACCCACGTAGCTTCAGGCTCCAAGCCTCCCTCTCCTCCCAGATATTCCCTCAACTTCCCCTCTTCTGATTTCTGACTTCTCTGTTGCTATGGATTATTTTTTCCAGGCACACTCAAGGAACAGTTTGTGGATATGTATCCACAAATACATATCGGAGGTGGTAGACAATTAGCAGCAAAGATTTCGTGTTTGGCGTTTCTGGCCTATCCTTTTCCCTGAGTAAGAACCTCACAGCCGAGCTCAAGTCAGACAGGCACAGTGCTCAGGGTGGTAGGATGAGCTTCCTGGGACCTGGATGAGCGAGTTTATGGAATATAATCCATCCCCTCTAGGTCAGGTGTAAGACTGTTTATTCCTAAAAATATCCACACTTTTTTATTCCCTTATCAATAATGTTTTTAAGTCTGGGAAGAATTGTCCTGGAAGACTGAATCAGAAACTTGAACACATTCCCAAGAAAATCAGCCCTCGAGCACGATCAGGGGTTACAGCCGGACTCTCTCTCTGTCCCAGCAGGGGAGAGCTGGCTGAGCCCGGACGCTGCACAGGCCAGCACTGTCTTCTTCCTATAAAACAGGGATGATAATTACCCTTCTACCTTGTAGGGCTGTTGAGAAAAATAAATGGGAGAAGGTACGTGAAGACAGCACAGCTTCTGGTTTCCCAACTGAGACACGCAAATTATAGGCTGTGCTTCTTAAGGACAAAGGACCTGGATCCCCGCCCCCATCAGCGCTCACTGACCAGACTCTCTGCCCTTCTTGGTTCCCACTCCCGCATTCCTGCCTCAGGGCCTTGGCGCTGGCTGTCCCTGGGCCCAGAGAGATCTTCCAGGGGTAAATCCCCACTGGGTCCTTGACCTCCCTGCCATCTCTGCTCAAGTGTCACCTTCCCCAGTGGGGTCCCCCTGCACCCCCTTACTGGGAATTGCAGCCCCCCCTACCATGGGCATTCTCAGCCCCGCTTGTGGGTGCTCAGCTAACCCCTGACCCACTGTGCAGGACACTGTTGTCTTCTGTTTATCGTTGCGTTGGCCTTGCCCCAGGGAAAATGTAAATTCTTCTAGGGAGGCCTCTCTCATTCACTAGGTGTATCCTGACACCTAGAGCAGTACCTGGCACGTGATAGGTGCTCAACGAGTCTACGTCAAGAGGATGGAGGTGTATTTCCCGTGTCTGTAATATCACTGTATTTTTAAATGCTTGGCTCCATTTTAAAAGTGCCCATTCTAGTAAAAAGGCAAGGTTGTAATTTCTCTAACATAGTTTTGCTAATGATAATAATAATAAAATGGTAACGATAAAAATGATTATTACTTTTTTCCAGAATACCTTTCAATGTAAATGTTACATCACGGCTGCAAAGCATCTTCAAAGTTCGCTGTCAGATGAAGCATCCAGTCATCACACTAGAATATGATCATGGAACTCTTGTTTGAAAGAAATTATTTGTTTTCCCGGTTTTAGTGTGTGTCTCAAATGCATTCTCTTTCAGGGATAAGCTTAAGGACCACTATCAAGGTATCAGCAAAGGGGCTTCCCTGGTGGCGCAGTGGTTGGGAGTCCGCCTGCCGATGCAGGGGACGCAGGTTCGTGTCCCGGTCCGGGAGGATCCCACATGCCACGCGGAGCGGCTGGGCCCGTGAGCCATGGCCGCTGGGCCTGCGTGTCCGGAGCCTGTGCTCCGCGGCGGGACAGGCCCCAACAGCGAGAGGCCCGCGTACCGCAAAAAAAAAAAAGAAAAAAAAAGATATCAGCAAAGCACTCACCAAACTAGATAAATCCAAAAGCGGCTACATATCCTTATGCAAGATGCAGAAGTTGCTGCAGGAGCGCGGCTGTTCTCTGAAGGCGGAGGAGCTGGCCGATCTTCTAACCAGGTTTTCTATGATGAGGCAATACGTTTCTCACAGCACTGCAAATCAGGTTGTCGCATTGCTTTCGTGAATTTCTTCTTTTCCCGTGTGCTCAAACAGCCTTTCGGCATTGAAATAACCTCCATGCCACCAAAAACTCAGTCTCTATCTGTGTACAGGAGTAGGACTGTAATGTTGTACTCGTAAAACTTATATAGTACTATAAACCGATGTGACCTCCATTTAAAAAAAAAAAAGAATGAATCTGCAAATACTCCTCTGGCTGGGCTACGTTCTAATGGGTTTGAGTCAACTCAAAGCAAAAAGAAAGCAACTTGACAAATCCATAACTTTTCCTGGTGTGTCTCAGCAGCATAACCATCCTTTTCTAACATTATTTTCATTTCCCCCACGTTATTCATGCACTTGGGCAGGAGTCAAGTCGTCCTGCAAGGCTTATTCAAAACAGCAGCCCCCTGCCCTGCCATCCTCCCCATCTCCTGCCCAGAGTCAATAACTTCCAGTGCTTTAATTCGTATCTTTTGGTACTTAACTCAGTACTTCTAAGTGACAAACTTATATAGGTACTTCTTGATTTTTCACTTCTAGGCAGTGTCTATCAACTTCCTACCAGGAAGATGCGGATTTAACTCTTTTTCACCCATCACATAAGCACCAACCACCTCACCCCGCAGCCTCCACCACCCCGTGGAGACACACGCAAACTTACCCTGTTGTCCCCCCCCATATTGCTGTGTCACAGTTTGGTGTAGTTCAATATTCAGGCTTTCTATTACTGTGACTAGCTGATCACTTTTCTTTTCCCATAGAACATGCTGTTTTCCCTGGAGTTAATAATAATTTTTCCTGTTTGCTCAGTTTCCATGTAGTTCTTATCACTAATTAAACCCCCAACTCACCCCAGCTTGTGAAATCTCTTTCCAGTATGTTCAGACACCTCAGCTGATGTGTCAGCTTCGTCTTCTTGGACGTCCCTTTTCATGTTCTTCAACTCTCAGAAATGTTCTTGATTTACTTCATTAAAGAGTTCCTCTCCTGTTTGTTTCTTTCTGAACCTCCTGTTGTTACGGATTAGTGAGCCACCCAGAGTGTCTCCTTATATTTTAAACCTTCCCTGTCCTCCATCTCTTTTTCTTCTTGCTCCATCTTCTGGGAGACTTCCTCAGTTTTAGTTCGCGACCCTTCTTTTGAGATTTTTGTCTCTGCCAATCATACTTATCATATTTTAAATTGCCAGAACTTGTTTTTATTCTCAGAACATTCCTTTTCTATAGCGTCCTGTTCTTGTTTCTTGGATATACTAGTTCATGTCTCTGAAGATATTAAGAATAGATTTTTTTTAAGTTTTCTTCACTTGAGAAGTCTCTCCTCAGTGTTGCTTTTTTCTGCTCTCTTCCATGTTAGACATTTTCCTCAAAAATATGCTCCTATTAAGAATGAGATGCTAAGAGATAGATGAAAAGTTCTGCACAGATGGGGAGAGCTAGTCAACTTCACTTTGAACCGCTTTGGCAGGGGGTAATCTGGCGGCTAGTTTCCTTGGAAGACTCCCAATGTCAGAATCTTTAAAACTTTTCTTTTGGGCTGGTCAGATTTCCCAGGGATTAGGGTTGCCAGATAAGACATAGAGGGCCCGTTTAAATTTGAATTTCAGATAAACAATATTTTTTTTAGTATAAGCCATGCGATATTTGGTACATATTTATACTAAAAATTATTTTTGTTGATCTGAAATTCTAATTTAATTGAGTATCCTTCTAGGCTTCTGTTTGTTTCTTTGTCTTTGTAAACCTGGCAACCCAACCAGAGAAGACTTGTTGGTCTCCTGCTGCCAGCACTCTGGGAGCTGACTGGGAACAGAAGGCTGGAAGTTTCAACAGTCAGCATGATAAGCTGAATAATGCCCCCAAAGATATTTAAGTCCTAATTCCTGGAACCTGTGAATGTCACCTTATATGGAAAGAGACTTTACGGATGTGATTAAGTTAAGGAACTTGAGAAGGGGAGGTGATCCTGGGTTATATGGGTGGGCCCAGTGTGATCACAAGTGTCCTTATAAGAGGGAGTCAGGGAGGGATTTCACCCAGAAGTGACCACAGAGGGAGAAATTGGAGCGATGTGGCCACAAGCCAAGGATCGCCAGCGACCACCAGAAGCTGGAAGAGGCAAAGAACAGATTATCCCCTAGAGCCTCCCGGGGGAGCACAGCCTGGCTGACACCGTGATTTCTGCCCAGTGAAGCTGATTTCCAACTTCTGGTGTCCAGAACAGTAAGAGAATAGATGTGTGCTGTTTAAAGCCACCCACTTTGTGGCATCATGTTATAGAGTCATAGGAAACTAATAGAGTCAGTATAAAAGCTTTCACTTAACTCGAACCCTCCCTGTTTTGAACTGTGACAAACACTTACCATCTGCAGAGAACACCCCTCCAGACCCTCCACTGTGTGTGGCGGGCGGGTGAGGGCCAGGCACCCAGCCTGGGGAGTCTGAGGAGGGGCACGGGGTCGAATTGCGTCCCACACAGGCTTTTAGCCAATCCTTCTCTTTTAACCCCACTTTCATTCCTACGTCTAGGTGTACCTGGAGCCCACTTCTGGAGGCTCTGAGGGTCTGCAGGTGTATCGGATACCCTTCCGTGTTCCTTCTGTTGGTCCCCGGAGGAGATGTCTTGAACCTGACGCGTCTGTTCTCCCTCATCCATCAAATTCCCAGCAGCTGTTATCTTCTTCCATTTTCTCTCCATCCTTCGTGTTTTCTGCCGGTGTTCTGCAAACTCCAGCCAGCATCAGAAACTCGGCTTGCTGGGCCCCTCCCTCGGGCTCTCTGAGGTAGCGGGCCTGGGAATCTGCATTTCCAACGAGGCCCTGTGTGGTGCTGCTGCTGCTGGACTAGAGCATCCCAAGAACCACTGTCTGACGCCTTTTAAAAACGCCTTCCTCTGTCACTTTAGAAGGAACGGAGCTAGTTATGTGCGTTCAAGCCACTTTAACTGCAAGTCCTATCCTCTTATAATTTTAAACCCAAATAACTCAGAGTTGATTGGTCCTCCTCGGACTGCTTTTGTATGCAGTTTCTGACTTGTGGTGTCCCTTAGCTGTGCTGGCTGGAAGTTCTCTGACTAAGTGCATGGGTCTTATGTTCCTCTCTTTGTGAGGTGAGGATACTAGCACCCCTCCCTTCCCTTTAGAAAATGTTAGCGGTTGCTCTAGTGTTTGCAGTGCACAGAATAACTAGCCTAAGTCCACCGTCAAATAACACATTACTACGCGGGAGGTGCAGGCGCCTTATTACAAACTAAGTGTTCCTGAATCCTCTCTCCTGTCCCCTGTAACATCGCTCTTACTCATGTCACTTTTCCATTTGCTGTAGTCACCCAATACATTGTTATTGTTACTTTGAACAATGATCTATTAGATCAACTAAGAATAAGAAGGGTAAAAGATATTATTTTACCTTCATTTATTCCTTCTCTTATGCTCTTTCTTCCTTTAGGTAGATCCACGTTTCTGACCCGTCTGATTTTCCTTCTCTCAGAAGAATGTGTTCTAGCATGTTTTGAAGGGCAGGGTGGCTGGTGATGAACTCCCTCGGTGATTGTTTGTCGGAGAAGGTATTTATTTCTCCTTCACTTTTGAAGGGTAATTTCACTGGTTACAGAATTCTAGGTGGGTGATTTTTTTTCCTTTCCACACTCTAAATATTTCAGTCCACTCTCTTCTTGCTTGCATGATTTCTGACGAGAAGCCCCATGTAATTCTTATCTCTGTTCCTCTGTAGATGATTCCCGCCCCCCCTCTGGCTTCTTTCAAGATTTTCTCTTTGTCTTTGGTTTTCAGCAGTTTGAGTATGATATAAGTGGGTGTAGTTTTTGGTATTTTTCTGCGTGGTGTTCTCTGAGCTTCTTGGAAATGTGCCTTGTGTCTATTATTAATTTTGGAAAATTCTCGGCCGTTATTACTTCAAATGTTTTTTTCTGATTCTTTTTCTCCTTCTGGTATTCCAATTATGAGTATGTTCCACTTTTGAAACTGTCCCACAGTTCTTGGATGTTCTGCTCTGGGTTTTTTTTTTTTTCTACTCTTTTTTTCTCTTTGCATTTCAATTCAGGAATTTTCTTATTGACATACTTCAAGCTCACTGATTTTTTCCTCAACGATGTCCAGTCTACTGATGAGCCCATTAACCGCATTCTTCATTTCTGTTACACTGTTTTTCATTTCCAGGATTTCCTTTGATTCCTAAGAAGGAGTATCCATCCCTGCTTACATTAGCCACTCGTTTTATGTGTTGTCCACTTTTGCCACTAGACTCCTTTACAATTTAATCATAGTTAGTTATTTTAAATTCCCTGTCTGATAATTCCAAAATACATCATGTCTGAGACTGGTCCTCATGCTTGCTTTGCTGTCTCTTCAGACTGTGTTTCTTCTTGCCTTTTAGCATGCCTTGCAGCTTTATTGTTGTTGAAAGCCAGACATGACACACTGGGTAATAGGAACTGAGGTAAGCAAGCCTTTCACGTGAGGTTGTATGTTAATTCGGGCAGGAGGTGGGCTGTGCTTAGTGCTGCTGTAGCTATCAGTGCCAAGGGCTTGGATTTCCTAGAGTGTCCTTGTTTCTGTCCCTCCTCTTTCCTTAGGCTTCCCTAGGAACTCCTCCTTAAATAGAGTCTGTGTTTGCAGATCTTTCCTTTGTAACCCACTGTTGTTATACTGGAGCTGGCTTGATGTGGTGGTAAGGTATGGGGGAGGGGAAAGATTCTATACTCTTATGATGAAATCTCAGTCTTTCAGTGGGCTTGGGTCCCTGGGCTGCAACCTTCAGAAATGTTTCCTAGCTTTTTTTTCTCCCTCAGATGAGACAGGAAGTCTAGAGGGGGCTGGAGTTGGCTCACTGCCTTTCCCCCAGATGGGATAAGGCTTTGGTAAATTCTTTTCCCTTGGAAAATTATTACGCCGAAGCCTCTGGGCATATTTCCCAAGCATTATTATTCCCCTTCCCCTGCCAGAGCCAAGAGGAGACCATCTTCAGATTTCCACTGTGATAACCTAGTGGGGTTCTTGAAGGTAAAGCCCATGAAAGTAGCGGGTCCCTAAGACTGGGCCCCCAGGGGTTTCTCAGCCTCACACTAGTCTACACACAGCCTCCACTATTGCTCAAGTTATCACTTAAGTGTTCCTACCAGCTCCAAAGGCCTTTGCTCCAGGAAGAGCAGATCTTGGCTGTAATTCTCTATGTTCACCCATCTCTCCAGATTTTGGGGTGACGTTTTGCCCTGTGACCTCAATTTTCTGATGGGACCAAGAAAAGCCATTGGTTTTCAGTTTGTTCAGCTTCTTTCTTATTGTGAAGATGAAAGGGACACTTCCAAGTGTCAGAGCTCCCCCACTTCCTATCACTTTCCCTCTCCATGTCCCATCTTTTGTCAGCTACAGTTTTTCTTTGGAAGAGCTCGTTAAATTTAACTTCTAAATGTCCTACAGCCACAACCAGGTCCTCTCCGCTTGGTTCATCGCTTGATTATAAAACTCAAAAACCATTAAATGGCATTTCATGATTATGACTATGTACATATTCATAATTCATAATATTCAATGTCCGGGTAATGAATGAAAATTAGCTTTCTTCTCAGTGGCACTATCCCTGGGCATCTGTGTCCACCTTGTTGTAGGCAAACCTGTGGGTACCCATGCATCTTTTCTAAGCCATTTGGGGAAAGGCAGTTCTTCACTGTAAGCTGCTTCCAAGGACATAGAGAGTAGGGTGATTTCTTTAACCATTGCTGTTTTCCGAACACGGGGCTCGGGTGAAGTTCAGAGTTGTCAACCTTCAGCTTTCCCTGGAATTCTGCACCACTTTCTGTTCTCTCCATTTTTCTCCTGCTGTCCTCCATCCTAGAGCCTCACTCCCCACTCTCCCGTTCCAGGTCTGTCACCCAAGAGTGTCCTGGGCTGTCCCCACTATTCTCCAGGGTTGGATCCCCTGTTTCTTATATCCCACATCTTTTTATTTATTAATTTACATTCTTATTTTGCTGGAGTACTTCCTGGAGTAATTTCCTAAGAAAGTGGGGGGACAGGAAATAAATTTTCTCAGTTCTTTGTCTGGAACTATTTTTTATTTTCCTTCACACACATTGTTAGCTCGCCTGAACATAGACTCCTAGGGAGAAAATCATCTTCCCGCAAAGCTTTGAAGGACAGTGCTCCATCGTCTGTGTGTGTGTATGTGTATGTGTGAGTGTGTGCAAGTGTATGAGTGTGTATGTGAGTGTGTGTTGAGTGTGTGTGTGTGAATGTGTGTATAGGGGAAAGAGGACCATTTCATCCTCAAATGCCTGTATGTTCTTTTCTTCCTTAAACATGGTCTCCTCTCACTAAATCTATTTCCAGCTGAACAAGAATTCAAATGCATTCAGTGAATAAACCGTGGAAAAATAGCACCAGATAAATAATTAGCTAAATGATTACAAGAGAGTCTTGTTAAAATGTAGTTAGGCTTGATACTTTTATAAGCAATGACACAAGGGCTGTGGAATTTCTGTAGTCCACCTGTCAGTGGGGTGATCAACTTTTTTACGAATCAAAACCTTAATAAGGATCCATCGCTCAGCCGCTTGTTTCTTCTCAAAGACCTCTTGATGATAAACATCTCTGTTATTTGTAATTATATGTAGATTGTTCTTTTCTAGATCCAAAATAGACTTTTCTAAATAATACTGAGATTAGCATATGCATTTGATTTTATTACTAAATTTTAATACCAAGTTGGCAATTTATCCTGCTGATGAAATAGAGCTGATTATCCTTTTCCTCCGTGTCTCCGTCGTGTAAGCCAGCAACGCGGGGCCTGTGGACGGCAGCTCTGCAGCTGTGGGCTGGAGAAGCACAGCCCTTGGCTTGTTCTCTTTAGGAGCAGACACCCGAGTCGCTGGAAACTTTCCTCTCTGGCTTCCCGACGTTCCAAGCTGTTCTTTGACACAGGCTCCATCCTGCTGAAAGGAAGTTCAGGGGTCAAGGTGCCAGCAATCCTCAGGGAATCTAAGTTACAGAAATGTGAACTTTGAATGCAATTACGCTTTATTTTGAGTTATTTTACATCTTTCATAAATATGCTTTATATTCTCACGAAACATGGATTTGCTCTCGCAATGTATTCTTGTAGAAGGCTCTCGCGATGTATTCTTGTAGAAGGTAAAGGGATTTTCTTCTGTGTTGGAGTGCTCTTTTTCTGCGTTGATGTCCTTGTTGAGACACAGAGACGCACACCCAGATGGAATTTCTAACTGAGAAAATACTAAACGATGTAGGTTTTGGAAAAATATGTTTTGAGTGCTTTCAGCTTGACAGCATAATTTCAACCATTCTTGAAAAAGGATTTAGCATCTATTTTACTCAGTTCCTCTTTTCCTTTTCACTGTCTTCATTGTACTTCCCTTATTGTCAGATTCCCATTTCACAGTGCAGGCCCTCGTTGGCTAAGGTCCCGATGACCACACCCCTACCC